AAATTAACCAAAAATTCCAATAACAGTTTGGTTAAAGACTCTTCAGACGTGATGGAAGAAACTTAGAGCCTGACCAAACTCCTACATTTCCAGCATGGTAGTAGCAGTGCCAAATCTTTGTTTTGATCATCCAGTACATCTTTTAAGGAATTAAATTTCTTTTTACTAATTGTATTCTCTTTTCTTGGCATTATGAAGTAATTATGTGGAGTCTCTAGCAATTAACTGAAAAGTTGTCCATCCTGTAGTCTGTTTTTTTAAGTAATGACGTTATGGGCTTTGCCTTTATACTTGCCCTTCTTAACTATATCAGAAGTATATTTGGTTATTTGGTAATATCTGTGCTCTGAAGATAGTTTGAAATTCAGTTCTTGTGGGTTTTTTCGGGCTATATGGCCATGTTCTAGAGGCGTTTCTCCTGACGTTTCGCCTGCATCTATGGCAAGCATCCTCAGAGGTGAGGTCACCTCTGAGGATGCTTGCCATAGATGCAGGCGAAACGTCAGGAGAAATGCCTCTAGAACATGGCCATATAGCCCGAAAAAACCCACAAGAACTGAGTGATTCCAGCCATGAAAGCCTTCGACAATAGTTTGAAATTATTTTGGTTTCCAGCCATTCCTCTTTTAGAGAAGTAGATTTTATCTCTTCCTCTATGCTGGTATAGCCTGTATCCTGTTTTTCTCCTTTTAATATTGTTTGCTTTGTTACTTGTGATGAACCGTAGTCTTCCTCTTTGGCTAAGTAGTTATCTTCAAGAGTTCTCATTGTTCTTTGAGATGTTCTGTGCCAGAGAAACAAACTTGTTTCAGAAAGGAGGTGATGATAGAGTTAGGCTGTCTGCAAAGAGTGTTATAGGGATAAAGAGCCACTGAAATAAATATATATATCCCACTACCCTGGCTTCCTGGCATGAGCATGTTTTCAGCTTTGCAAACGATAGACACTTTCTTCCTCTGTTGTTAACAATGGGCTCCTTACGCTGTTCTCTAAATATTTAATTGCTAACAGTTGATTTTGATTAACTACAAAAGAGTTTACTATTAGTTCAGGATACAAGAAAAGTTGTTTGTTCTAAACTGCCCCTTGTGTATCTTGGCAAAAGAGGTACCTTAGGTAAATAAATTATAATACCTTGATTAAAAGCTTATCTGCAAATCCCTTGGCAACCAAACTAAATTTCCTACCCGAGTGGGTTTTTTGAGTTGTTACGTCTCTCTCTAACTCTTTGTATTTCGAGCTTTCTGTTACCAGTATAAATGATATATAGAGCATCGTTTCTGAAGTAAATTCACATCAAACACATATTCTAGGTTAATAAGTGCTTCTCTGTACTGCTTATTTACAAATGCTTTGCAGTGTAACATGTAATAAAAATGATGCTAAATATTGAAAGACCTCTAAAAGTTACTTTACTTCTGCTTTATTCATAGCCACATACAGTATACTCTCCATACTATTACTTGGGTCCAGGTTTCTTCTTCTCAATTTAGCCCATCCTTTCAAAGATTATTTAACAACTGTGAAGACATCATGTAGCTGATCATGTTTGACCAAATGACACCATACACCATCTAATTCAAAGACAGACAGAAAACACAGCTTGTACTCTTAATGGACATTGACGACAAAGACAAAGGGCAAAGCTCTTGTCTTTATTAACAACTCTCTTTTTTGTTCATGAGGAATGAATATATTGATGAAAATTCAGCGATCCCAGGCATGGGCAGACTTTTTGCTTTGGGACTGTATTGTGGGTCTGGCCAAAACAGCCAGGCCAGGAGGGAGAACAGCCAGGCACACACTGGGCAGAGCAGGCCTGGGAGGGGGAGGACGCAGGAGAGGGTAGGGCAAAGACTGGGCAGAGCAGGGCCCAGGTCATCTTCATCTTCAGGACGGGGCTTCTCACCACATCCTTAGGCTGGGAGGAAGGCAGGAAACAGCATCAGACCCGATCCTCTTCCCACGTTCCTCAAGCTGTCCTCTTGGCATTATGCCAGGAGGAGGGCAAGACAGGCATTTATATGGTCTCATGTATCAGAATGAGTGACTTCATTCTTTCTTGCCTGCCCATTTTCCTCTGAAATTCCTTCTAAATTATTTTTGCTGGCCTGTTGTAAAAATCCCATCAGGCTATTCTTGCAATGCTATGTGTAATGTATTCTGTTTTTTGTGACCGTACTCTCAAAAAATGTTTGTTAGGAATGCAGCTATATAAACCAAATACCAGTTGAGTATTCCACCTGGAACTGTGTAGGAGCTGTGGTGGTGCAGCGGTTTAAACCCTTGTGCCGGCTGAACTGCTGACCTGAAGGTCGGTGGTTCGAATCCACAAGATGGGTTGAGTCCTGTCTGTCAGTTCCAGCTTCCCATGGGAACATGAGAGAAGCCTCCTACAGGATGATAAAACATCCAGGTGTCTCCTGGACAATGTCCTTGCAGACGGACAATCATCTCACAGCTGAAGCAACTTGCAGTTCCTCAAGTCACTTCTGACATACACACAAAAAAACTTTGGAATTCTGAAATCCAGACTACTCCAAAATCTGAAATTGCGCACATGGGTAGCTAAGATAGAGACACCTTTGTTTTCCAATGGTTCATAGTACACAAACTTGGTCTCATACACAAAATTAGTAAAAAAAAATGTATGTAAAATTCCTTCATGCTGTATGTATACGGTGTATATGAAGCATAAATTAACTTGTATTTAGACTTGAGTACCATCTCCAGGATATTTCATTATGTACATATATATATGCAAATGAAGGTATTCTAAAATCCAAAACACTTCTGGTCCTAAGTATTTTGAATAAGGGATACTCAGCTATCAATACACAAAAAACATAGATCTGGAAGTTGAGGAAGGCATATTAGCATTTAATAGAAAATAACTATCAGGCAAGGGGTCAAGTACCTTTTGCTCCTGTGTCCTTCAGCTGCAGCTTTCTTCCTTTGCAAGGAGGAAGCAGCTGTTGGATCAAAGTTACATTCAGTGGTGTTGTAATAATTTAATTTGGGCCCCAAGAGTCAGTAGCTGCACAACTTGTTCTGAGAGGAAGACATGGTATGGAGCCCACTAGCTATATGTATTACTTGAAAGATATATTTATTTCCACTTTGACAAAGTGGTTATTAGAAATAATAACATATCATAGTGCACTAAAGAGAGATGAGACTAAGAGGGTTTACAGAAGCAGGAGAATACTGCTTTCCTCCATATTTCATTAATGCACAGACAACAGTTCTGCTACTTCAATAATTGTTGCGTATCAGAATGTCTTAGGGCTATTAAATTCTCCCGTTAACAAGGGATAGATTTATATCTTTGTTTACTTAGAAATCCGATAAGAGTTTGCTGAATGCGCCTTTCCCAGATTCCTGGCGGATAGACATTGGCATGTATCTTTCTGACCCTACAGTTTTCGTTAAGCAAACATTCATGTAGTATACAGTTGAAGTGCCCCAAGTACCTGCTAGTTGCATGTTGTAACAGTTATGTTATAATGCTAAAAGTGGAGTCTAAATCAAATCACTCCTGAGTATTTTTATTAAGTTCTTATTATCTTCAGATCTGATATACTTCACTTAAAATAATGTTACTAAAGCAGCAGATAGCTTTGTGACTAAAAAAAAATGGTTAGTGGTGCAGGAATCACACATAATTACATGCTTTATCAATGATAAATGAAATTATGTGTTGAGTTTTTTCAGCATTTCAGGGATTGAAAAGTAAGATATTCTTTGCCCACAGACACATAATGTAATAGGGATTCTATTGATGAGACTTGGAAGAGGAAAGCAAACAAATTAAGGAACCAGAGCTTCTAATAATTATTTTAAAGTTGTCTAAGTATGTTTTTCAGACATGTTTACCAACATAACCCTTGGAAAGTGCTAATTTCTAACCCCGACATAGTGCTATATTACTCTCAGGTGCTATAGACTATAATTCAGAGGAAGGAACTGGCAAAAGCACCTCTGAGTATTTTTGCCTAAGAAATGCTTACAAAATTCATGGTGTTGGCATAAGTTAATAGGTGGTTTGAAGACACATACATACAACTTGTTGCAGGAAGTAGGGAGAGGAAGTGTGAAGTAAAGAGATAGTCACTTCATGAATATGTGTTGACAAAGTTTCTTAGGTTCAAACAACATGTTACATGTGCATGTATGTATATGTTACATGTGCATGTATGTATATGTACATATACCAACACAGTCCCTTTTAGAACAGTCAAAGCTACTTCTAGTAGAGCCAATAAGGAGCTGAGAATTGCAAAATAATATATAAGAGAGAGAGTATTCAATTTTACCTGTCCTTTAAGGTTCATTAGGCTGCCACTGTCAATTTTCTTTGTGTATTTTATCTGGATCTTCAAAGGAACTGCTCTGTTCAGAGAAATGTTTTCTCACTCAAAAGCAAAGAAGCTGTGGAAATGAAGGGGTTTCTTACTCTTAAAAGTCATGCAAATTGTGCTATGGAATTGGGTTTCTAAGGGGAACTGGACAGTTTAGTGTGGCTGTGTTCTTCATGAGTGCATTTCAATGGTGGCCCCTCGGCTATGGAATGCCCTACCGGCAGACATCAGACAGGCACCTTCGCTGCTGACGTTTCGGAGAAAGGTTAAGACCTGGCTTTATGAACAAGCGTTTGGTTAAGCAGTGCAACCAATCATAGGAAGACGGTAAATGGAACATAGGAATGGCACAAGGATTATGAGAACGGATCTGATTTCAACTGAGGCGTTATGTTATGTCTGTTTTGTTGATCTGTCTTGTTGATTGTTAACTGTTGTGGAGTGATGCTGTTGATCCTGTTTGTTGCATTGTTATGTTTTAATTGCACTGACACTGTTTGATAATTGTACCATGTAAACCGCATTGAGTCGCCTGTTAAGGGCTGAAAAATGCGGTATAGAAATAAAGCAAATAAATAAATAAATAAATAAATATATCCAAACTGTTTATCTACTTAATATTTTTGGCTCTCTTTTCAGATGACATGGCAGAGCTCCTCATCGGAGAATCAAAACTTGAACTTTTTCTGAAGGAAAACCCTCTTAAACAGGGTGCTAGTCCCTATGGTCCTCGGCCAAAGTTGATAGAAGTCAAGAAGCATCTCACTGCAGCACTTGACCGAGGAAATTTAAAGGTATTTGCCACTTCTAAAGTAGTCACTAACATCAGTGAGATACTGGGAATTAGAGTAGACACATAATTCCAAAAGATTGACGTAGAAGGTTAAGATGGTTTTCCATCACTTTGTTTAAACTATATGAGATCAGATATATTTTCAGTAACTTCTGGGTTCCACATTGCTTTAAGTATATTTAGAGTAGCAATTTGCTTCAGAACAATTGTAGTTTATTACATGCGCCAACTGTCTTCTAATGCTTATGTGTTTAATCTATCATACCGACAGTCCTATCATACTGACAGTTCCCAATATTCCATGCCAGTCTTCCAAAGTTACAGCACACTTCTCTGAAGATTTCTCCAAGTTGAGTCCTTCTGGTGGTTTTGACTTGCAGAAGATTGATATTGTTGCCCAGAATATTTGAAGGGATCTAGATTGAGGAAAAGCTGTTCTAGTTTGACCAAGAAATAGAACTTATAATCGAGTTACCCCAATGCAGAAACTTAATTCATAATGCAGTAATACCTCTGTAACATAGATCCCATATCTGCAGTTTCACTTGTCTGTATCGAATCCCTTGGGAGATGCTAGCGGGGTACAAATAAAGTTATAATAATAATAATAATAATACAGGGAGAAAATTATCTCAGTCTAGGCATTTTCTAAGTCTTATGGGTGATTCAGTGATATGCTTCTCCTGGAAGTTAGCATAAAGTTGTGTTGAGGACCTAGCAAATTACTAGAGACGATGGGGGGTGTTTGTTGTTTATTCGTTCAGTTGCTTCCGACACTTTGTGACCAGCCCACACCATAGTTCCCTGTCGGCCATCACAACCCCCAGCTCAAGCCAGTCACTTCAAGGATACCATCCATCCATATTGCCCTTAGTCGGTCCCTCTTCCTTTTTCCTTCCATTTCCCTCAGCATCATTATCTTCTCCAAGTTTCCCAGTCTTCTCATTATGTGACCAAAGTACTTCATCTTTGCCTCTAATATCCTTCCCTCCAATGAGCAGTTGGGCATTATTTCCTGAAGTATGGACTTGTTTGATCTTCTTGCGGTCCAAGGCACTCTCAGAATTTTCTTTCAGCACCACAGTTCAAAAGCTGGCAGGACTGAAGACTGATAGGTTGGGAGGTTCAAATCCGGGGAGAGCGCAGATGAGCTCCCTCTGTAAGCTCCAGCTCCCCATGAAGGACTTGACAGAAGCCACCCACAAGGACGGTAAAACATTAAAACATTTGGGCGTTCCCTGGGTACCGTTCTTGCAGATGACCAATTCTCTCACACCAGAAGCAACTTGCAGTTTCTCGAGTTGCTCCTGACTCACACACAAACACAAACAGACACAAAATCCATGGTGACAACTTGTGCCTGTTCATGCTGCTCCATTTGATGTCAGCACATATTATTATTCACATTTCTTCATCAAAACATTTTCGTAAAACAAAATCAAAATGCCCTGTCTTGTCCTCTTGCTCCCAAATGTGTCTTTTTCATTTAAAAATCATTTTAAAACAATATCTTCCTAGATCATTATTATTAAATCACAAAGCTGCCGTGCTTTGATTACTCTACTGGATGAGATCACACCCACCCACACATGTACAAAAAGGGGAGATTTCTGGCATGTTACTCTGAAATGAAGCTTGATGAAGAATCTCTCTTCTCCCCCTTATTTCATTGTCTTCTGCTGCCTCCCTCTTCTGTGCACATGCCCACACACATACATCCAGAGCACTTAAATAGATATGCATTTTAGAAAAGAAGGAAAGGGGGAAAGAAAAGAAAAAGGGAAGCCTGGGAAAAGTAGAAGGGAATTGAAATAAAATTGCCTGTTTGGGACTTTACAGGATTGAAAATACAATTCTAGGCTACTGTCACTTATTTATATGGATTGAGTTCATATAAGAGTGATGTTCATAAGGTAGAGAATATAGCAATCAGTCTTGTCTGAATACAGTAATAACGTTTATTGGAACCTATTGTTATAACATTCCCTCCCCAGTGATATTAGATCAATCTCCTCCCTCCTGGCCTTCAGAAAGAGAGTGAAAACATGGCTTTGGGATCAAGCCTTCGGAGAAGTGCAATAGAAGAATATGGAATATTTGCAATGACTATTGGAATGGCTTTGGATTACGATTGTGGATGGCTTGGTTTTAATAATGGATGTAACGTTTTTAACTGTTTAATATGTATTAATTTTAATCTTAATTTCAATGTTTATTTTAATTGTATTTAATTTAAGGCATTGAATGCCTGTGTGTAAGCCGCCTTGAATCCCCTTCAGGGTTGAGAAAGGCAGGGTATAAATATGGTAAATAAATAAATAGACAAATAATAATGTTCAAAGATTACAAAAACAACACCCTTCAAAATTGAGGGAGGCATTTTGGAGGCATAAGAAAATCAGGGATTGCAAAAAGTAACAGGCAAATAGGAGGTATGAGTATTAGACTCACTGACCTTGATTGTCACAACCCACCACCCACCCACTGTTTTCAGATAAGATTGATCGCTCCATTCTCAACCTCATACACACCATTGTCAGGGCCCTTCTGCACAGCCATATAAACCAGAATATCATGGCATACAATCCACTGGGTTATCTGAGTCCACACTGCCATATAATCCAGTTCAGTGTGGATTTTATACAGCTGTTTGGAAGGGGCCTCACATGAACTCAATCCATATAGATAAGCAATTGTGACATAGAATCCACTGAAATTTTTTTCACAGTGACTCTTTTTGATAGAATAAAAAGAATTAATAAAGGAGTGGAGAAAGCCTGACACTTCCTGCAATCGTAAATATGTAATTTACATTCCAAAAAGGAAGCAACTAATACAGGAGCAAAAACTATCATCTTTTGACATATTTGGTCAGTCTGGATGAGCCCTCAGTTTCATGTAGAGTTTAGCTTTATTTTCAAGTTAAAAGGGGTAGTGTGGAAGTTGATATTCTAAGTTTAAAATTTTACAGATTTCTGCATGTAGCAGAAAGCTCCTCCTAAAAATGGTCATCATTTTTATGAACTCTTGTATTCAGTCCAACACACTTCAAAAGAAAAGGTTTGGTGTTACACACTTGACTTTTGGCCATATAATAGACATCTGTCAGTATTTAGTACAGGTTGCTGATGTTCACCATTAGAATGTGAATATGTATGCTTAATACCGTTTGTGTGCAGAAACTCATTCAAAAGGCAACCTATGTACGAAAAGCTATAACTGCACTATTTGAAATTGCTGGAGCATGGCATAAATATGATGCTTATAAGATTATGACACATTTTTGTTTTGTTGTTTTACTGATGTGTTGTTGGGCTTGGCCTCATGTCAGCTGCCTGGAGTCCCCTTGGGGGATGGTGGCGGGGTATAAATAAAGTTTTATTATTGTTTTTATTGTTGTTGTTATTATTATTATTATTAATAATAATAATAGAGTTAATGACAACATCTCTTCTTCCCTCCTGTAGCTTAATATTTTTATTTCCATTTTATTACTTTTTGCATTTGCCGTATATCCTTTGCTACAATGCTATATTCTTCAGGATGTTTTGTGATTATAATTTAAGATATTACTGTATATTTAACCAGTGTGCAAAGGGATTTTGTAGTATTGTAGAGACTGAGAAAAAGAAGTTGGTAGCATAAGCTTTCACAGACTAAGTCTGTTTCCTCAGATGGATGGAAGCAAATGCCTAGTAACAGACCTTTATAGACAAATATTATGTGTAAATAGACATGGTAATGCAAAATTTGTGAATATGGTGATGAGGTGACAAGTTCAGTTCCTTGTGGAATGAAGTGTGTGGAAAGATATTGCCTCAAGGGAGAGTGAATAGATACCCAAATGAATGATGTAATGAGTTACTGTAATGTAGGGTGTTGCTTGTGGAGAAACAAAAACAAAATGTGATAAAATTGCCAAGAGAGCCCTCATGAGGTTGGGGTATTTTATAATATGTGTGCTGTGCCAGAAAACCATTGACATTTTTCAACCCACTGTCAATACACTGGAGTTTCTGGATATATTCCAGTTCTGTTATTTCTCTTTTCACTCTTACTTTGTAGATTTTTGGGGTCAAAGACAGTTATTCTGAGGTCCAAGATGGAATGTTCAGAAAGACTGAAGTGTTCTACTATTGTTTTACCGAATCCAAATGTTAGATTTGTTTCCATTTATTTGCTGGTGCAGAGATTGGCCTGTTTCTCCATGTAGAGTGCTGAAGGGCATTGCTGACAGAGGATGTCATATATCATATTAAGAGAATGAGCAAGTGAAAGCACTGCTAGTATTATTGGCGATATGATTAGGTTCTGTGATGACATTTCCTGAGTAGATGTGTGGGCAAAGTTGGCATCTGGGTTTGTGGCAAGATCTTGAACCTGTGTTGTATGTTCTCCTGTAGGTAAATAACTGAGATTGGGATGCTGCTCGGAATCATGTAAAAGCCTGCAGTCAAGAGCCTTTGAGTAGGTGACATTATTATTCAGAAAGAATTGTAGGTCATCAATTATACATCTTAGTTGGGAACTGTATGTCACCACTATTGGGCTTCTGCTATTGCCTGTCTTTTTTATTAGTCTTGGGTACAAGTATTTTCATGTGTGTATTTTAGATTTTATGGTGGGCACTTTTCATCCTGATTGTTGACTTGTGGGTCTAAGCAGATGTGATTGTATCAGGGGGCTTGGCTATAAATGATGGAATGGGTAGTGTGTTCATGGAGGAAACTGGAGGTGTGTAAGTATGAGTAGCAATCAGTAGGCTTGTGGTATAGTGTGGTGCTCAGATGTCTGTTCTGTAGTTGTATGTTAGTGTTCAGAAAGTAGACTTGTCAGCCATGAAGATCTTGGCATATTGTGGTGCCATGTATATGCCCATTTTAGTACAATTAACTTGAGGGTACATGTTATTACCAAAAGTGAAGTAGTTGTCTGAGAGAACAATGTGGCAGACCTTGGTGGCTAGATTTGCTATAATCCCATCTGGAATCATGTTCCTGACAGCTTGTAGTCCATCCCTGCGTGGGATTTTGGTGTATATGAATTCTACATTCATAGTGGCTAAGATTATGTTCCCTGAAAGATTTTGATGAAATGTAATTTCTGGAGGAAGTTGATAGTGTCCTCCACATAATTGGGAGTGCAAGTGGCATATGGTGTAAAAATATTGTCCATATGTCCAGAGATAACAGCTGTGAGTGTGTCAATACTTAGGCCAATGAGCCATCCAGGGTTGCCTGTTTTGAACAGTTTCTTCTCAGCCTCCTGTATATTGTCGGATTTGGCCATGATGACATCCCACTGTTTCATCACGAGCAAATCAAAGACAAGTTCTGCTAATTCAAGGAGAGGTGCACTCTTTTGTCAGTTCTTCTTCAGGTGTTCTTCAGTCATAAGTCTTGACTATGGAAAGAGCAGACCCTTCATCAAATTCAGGGAATTTATCTGTAATCTGCAAGTATCGAAACAACAGCATTTTGTCAGTGCATTGTCAGAAATATTAAAAATTAACTAGGTATTTTTAATTACGAAAATATGATTCAAGCACTGAAAGGGTTAAATGGATGCAATGAGTCAGTAAAAGCTGCAGTTCTATATAAGCAGGTGTGCCTGTAGCTCAGTAGTTTTCCTCTATGTTAGTTTGCCTCAGTGGGAGAATAGGTCTCAGTAGTGATAGCCCTCACTGTGGGAGAAAGGCCTCAGAGTATGAGGTAGGCCTCATTATGAGAAGGCCTCATGTGCGGAGCTCTAGTGTGATGGCTGAACTTTATTTGTGTTATGGAAACCTTGTTTTTGTAAATAAAGATTAATTTAAAGGTTTTCCTCTGACATGAAGTCCAGTCGTGTCCGACTCTGGGGTGTGGTGCTCATCTCCATTTCTAAGCCGAAGAGCCGGCGTTGTCCGTAGACACCTCCAAGGTCATGTGGCCAGCATGACTGCACTATTTATTTTGTAAATAGTGCAACCATATTATTTTGCTATTAAGAAAAGCCTCCTATGGAAGAGATAATATTGGTCTGTGTGTTTTTATTCTTTTTATCACTTTGATGTACTGATGCTGGCTCATGCTGCTGCTAATAAGTTACTCTGCTGTGCATTTATGAGGAGGGTCTTTTGTTAATAAGCCCACTCACCCAACATGAATGTACTGGTTAGAAGAGCAGAGATTGAGGAAAATTGGATAATCCATTAAGGTGAGGCTTGCCAGTTGGGAAAGCACAGGCTGGACACGCTGCATGAGTTGGCAAAAGGAGGAGGAAGCAGCTGTGGTTTTGCAATATCCCTTCCTACCCCAAGTAATAATATATATATTTCTTTATATTGAAGGGCATTGCCATCAGACGGGACACCCTATAGTCTTGTGACCTTGAAGGACTTCCCTTTAATAAAACTTTATTTGTATTCCACCCTATCTCCCCAAGGGGACTCACCTTCCCATCTCTGTGGTAGTTAGAAGTATAACTGCACTAATTTCACCCATGTGCTAAATATACTTTGTTCAGTGCAGGCCTGGGGGAAGATTTGAGAGAAAAGAGAAAGAGTAGCATAATGGTGGTAGTGCAAAATAGAGCCCAGCTGCTTCTTATTGCTACTGTTATCTACTAGGAAAAGAGCCCCCTATCCCTTTTGCAAAGTGAGGGGGGAAGAAAAAAAGGGGAAGGGGAGGCTGTTTGTGTGATATGGAACTGGGAATGTTAGGGGCCAACTTGTTGATGAACAGACGGACTGGAGCTTCAGAGAGCAAGGTTGGAGGGAAGGGAAGATGATGGCAAAGCTGGTTCCCCTAAGGGGGCTTCATACCTCCACCCCCCCCCCCCAGCCCTGAACAGGGGCTATGGCTATGGAACCAGCTGCTGTGTGGGTGTCAAAGCGAATTACATTCGGGGAAATCATGAGCCAGTTGTCTGACTCTGGATCAGTCGACCTTACCCACTCCAGCTTCAAAAGTAGTCTTTTTTCCTCCTCCTCTCTGTAGAAATACATCCACTGAGTGGCATAATGCTTGGCCCATGCGGAGTAACATATCGGTAAGGCTTGGCAGAATCAGGTAAATGCTGTGTCCTTGCTGAGCGACAGCTTGGGCATCCCCCACTTTTTTGGCAGGTTAAGGACCAGAGCACAGTAGGTGCCACATTTCAATGACTTCCAGTTTTTGACATTGCTCTGGTCTCTAACCAGTTGAATCAGTAAGGAATTGTAACAGCTTCCTGGAGAGAATGCTACAGTTTGTCACTGTAGCCTTTGTAGTATGTAGCTCTTAGAGGCTTACTCACCTTCAGATCTTTTGTAATAACATCCTTTTTCTTGTGCTAGTTGCGAAAGTTGATGTCTGTTTACACTTGGATAAGTGTCTTAAAGAGGTTGATGTGTTTCCATTTGGCTGAATGTAACTGGTTTAGTTTTTGTTCTATTTCCTCTTGCAGCAATTCACCATTGCAATGGTTTCAACTTGCAACAATTTGTCACTGTATGCCAGTTCTACTAATAAAATAAAACAATCTGACTAAGCCTGCCATTTTTAAAACAATGATGTAAAAATCTGATAATACAAAATCTGTTGGTATAAATTAAATATCTACTTCTTTTCTCCTTTTTTTTCTTCTAGCCAGAGTTTTTACAAGAAGCCAACTTAGTTATGGCCAAATTAAACTATGTGGAAGGCGATTACAAAGAAGCTCTTAATATATATGCAAGGACTGTGATTGATGATTTACAGCTTGTTGCTGTACCTCCTTACCGTCTGAGGATGATTGCTGAAGCATATTCTACCAAAGGTTGGATCACTTATGTATATTTGTGATTTCCTTCTCACCCACTTTTGAAATGGAATATATTGAACTTCTGATCAGGTTGTTGGAGCTAGGTTCTGTTCATATTGTGTTAGCATAGCAAGGGCCGTGATGCAGTGCAGTAATCAGGTAAAAAAGAAAACCAACACACTGGAATTATAAGCACACAGCTAAAAGTATCAACATTCATGCCCCCCCCCCCCCCCGTATCTGTATTCTCCCTATTCAGTCAAAATATACCTCGTCTGTTTCCAACGATCAAACTCAGACCTATGATCCGCTTGCACAGATGTGATGCAGCTGTCCCTTCCTTTAGATCAGGCATGGGCGAACTTCAGCCCTCCAGGTGTTTTGGACTTCAAGTCCCACAACTCCTAACCGCCTACTGGCAGTTAGGAATTGTGGGAGTTGGAAGTCCAGATGAATTGGTACATTGCAATTTAGGATTTTTCATTCTCACAAAAGCAGGGCTATAGTTTTGGTTTCGACCTTCAAAGCCCTACATGGTTTGGGTCCAGGTTACCTGCAGGCAGGCCTGTAGCTGAGACAGGCAGGGGGGTTCAAGGTTCMCCCCCCCCCCCCGCCGCTGAAATGTGTCAGGTTGAAAAAAACTCCTGGTTTACTCATTAATTTTAACTGGTTAACCAATTCATGAATAAACCAGTTTTTTTTAACCGGACACATTTGGGGGCGGGGGGCAGGGTTTGAACCTGCCTACAGGATCACCTTCTCCCATACAGTCCAACTCCTAGCACACTGAGGTCCTTTGAGGGATGCTTATTCTATCAGCCTGAACCTGTCAACCCAGAGGACCTTTTCACTGCCCACCCCATGACTGTGGAATGATCTGTCAGAAGAACTCCAACAGGTAAACCAGCTGTCTGAATTCAAGACCCAAATGAAGACTTATCTCTTCTGGCAAGCCTACCCAGTCAACTTTGAAACATGAGTTTTGAGTTTGCATTCTATTGCTTTGTACTCTGTGTTTTGTGTATGTGTTTTATAATGATGTGTTTTGATCTTATATTTAATTGTACGTATTTTATGCTCATATGTTTTGACTTTGTGTATCCCTCCTCAAGCCATTAGGAGAGGCAGGTAACAAATAAAATGTGTTATTATAGTTATAGTTATTGTTTTTATTATTAGTATTGGACATCAGTTTGTGGTTCTAATGTTACCTTGTTCATGGGAGTAGATTACTTTTTTAAAACTACTGATTATTAAGCATTTCTTCATTATGATAAACAATATTTGTAACAATTTTTTATAAATTACTGCCTTCTGTAGCTTAATTTTGATTGTCATTTGTATTGTTGTTAGTTCCAGATATAAGCATGGTTGTATCATTTGCAAAAGTAGTTGTCCAATCAAATCTTCATCTTGTGATTTTGAAATACAGTAGAGTCTCACTTATCCAACCTTCACTCATCCAATGTTCTGTATTATCCAACACAGTCTGCCTCCTGTCCGGATTCACAGCTATTTCAATACATAGCAATGTTTTGGTGCTAAATTCGTAAATACAGTAATAACTATATAACGTTACTGTGTATTGAACTGCTTTTTCTGTTGATTTGTTGTAAAACATGACGTTTTGCTGCTCAGTTTGTAAAATAATAACATATATTGATCATTAATAGGCTTTTCCTTTGTCCCTCCTTATTATCCAACATTTTTGCTTATCCAACGTTCTGCCAGCCCGTTTATGTTGGATAAGCGAGACTTTAATGTATATTCCCAGATCCCCTTTGTAACTATTCAAATAAAATTTACCTTTTAATTGTCGGATTTACCTTTTAATGTTTTAAATCCCAGATCTCCCCTTTATATCTCCCCTTCCTCTATAAAGAACGGGGCACAATGTGATTACATAGTTTTGAATGGGGCTTAACATTCCCAGTGTTTTTTCTCATTGTCTTGGTGATATATTTTGTCTGTTTCCGAGATTCTGTAGAGACAGGTTTTATCTTTTCCACATTCAGTTGTGAAACACACAGTGAGGGACTAGTTTCTGTAGGTGGCAGTGTTGGTTCAAGATGTGCTTTGCACTGTGCGTGCAGGACAGAAAGCTGGGTCAGTGTTTTGAGAACACAGCAATTTATGTTCAGTGGAATATACAATTTTCTATGCTTGAATGCCTTTGCTAGCTTTTGAAATTGCGTCTTTTGTCTGGAAGAGTAAACATATGCCATCTATGAGTCTTGTTTTACTTTAGAAAAAGCAAACTCAGTGGCAGCATCGACAAGAGATTCTAAATAATTCCTAAAATTAATCTGAGGGAGATTTGAATAACCTTACAGCAGTTGTGTGTCCTGCAGACTGCAGTTCGAGCGCTAGTTATGTTGCAGTGAGGGGATTTTTTTTTCTGTGTGGGAGGATTTTAGATAGGTTTCCTCCATTGTAGATAGATGAGTCTACAATGGAGACAGTATCTGCATGCAGGCGTTTTCTCTCTGTCTCTATCTATAGCTGTTGAAAATAAAAGCATTATTTCACCTGGATAATAGAAATGATCAATTACTTTTCCGGTCCAGTTGATGTTGCACAACAGTATATGTGATACTGAAAGTCTTTTCCTTACAGTTGAACACACTTTGATTCTTGTAAGTTACGAGTTAAGTATTCCCTCCCTCTTTCCCTCCCACAAATCACTGCAAATAAGTGTTACAGGTTTGTAATATGAGTGTGTCATTATGAAGCTAACCAGGATCGAAATTAATTCCTGGGCCAACATTTACTTCTGGAGAATTTTGACCCACTGATGTTCTCTGTCAACTTTTTAAACAGACATATATTTGGTTCTATTCTGAGTACATCTGCACTATAGAATGTATGCAGTTTGATACCACTTTAACTGCCATGGTTGCAGTGTTGCATGCAAATCCCCGTGATAACCAGTTTGCCTTATTTTTCTATGTGATCAGTTTCCCTCTTAACTCTGGCAGAGGATTTTTCAATTTCTTCCTTTTCTGCCTCTGTGGTTGGAGAGTTGGATTATCATTATATTCATCTGTTTGAAAAGTTTTATTGACACAATTAAGTCGGATTTTGTATTGTTCTTTGACTTTTTTTTGCTAGATCTCTACTTACTTATTAATGCATCCTCATTTCTCATTGAGCTGCAGTGGTGCAATGGGTTAAACCCTTGTGCCGGCTGAACTGCTGACATGAAGACCTGAAGGTCAGCGGTTTGTATCCGCAAGACGGGATTGGGTTTTTTTTGTCTGTCAGAAGCTACTGGAGAAACTGCAAGTCGCTTCTGGTGTGAGAGAATTGGTTGTCTGCAAGGACATTACCCAGTGGGCGGCTGGATGTTTTGATGTTTTAGCATCCTTGTGGGAGGTTTCTCTTATGTCCCCACATGGGGAGTTGGGGCTGACAGAGGAAGCTCAACCCACTCTCCCCGGATTCGAAACTCTGGCCTGTCGGTCTTCAGTCCTGTTGGCACAAGGGTTTAACCCATTGTGCCACCGGAGGCTCCCATCTGCCAGCTCCAGCTTCACATGCAGGGACATGAGAGAAGCCTCCCACAGGATGGTAACACATCTGGGCATCCCCAGGCAGCGACTTGCAATATATTCTCAATTCACTTCTGACACGATAAAAAAAAATCTTATTACACTTACAGTTTTATACATTTATTTCCTTCATTTCTACCCTGCCCTTCTCCCACACGGGTACTCAGGGTGGCTTCACATAAGCATCAGTACTGCTGTCAACATATAAATTTGATTAAAACCAGTAATACTCAATTAAAACTTTATAAAATTCATCAATAAATTCATTTAAACATTCAATTAACATGCAGCTAAAACCAAGTCCATTGCATTTCTTGTTTTATTTTGGCTCCCCTGATTAATGCTTCTCACATCTCTTGTTCTTATAGTATTATACAGCTTCAGACTTTCATTTCACCTCTGAGCATGTCAAATGCCGAACATTCATTCAGCTTGAGTCCACCCCCATCATTACTTGTCCTCTGGTTCTCATTGAATGTGTTCTAGGCATCTTGTGTTCTAGTACTGTCTCTTATTTCAATTTGGGTTGTCTCATCAAAGGATTTTCAAGATAAAATGCTTCAGGGTTAATTTACAATTCCCTGCTTCTGAGCAGTATGAATAAGCATCAGCTATGGTACTATTGCTTTTTTCTCTAAGCTCCTCCTCCAGTGTCACTTCCACAACTATTGCTGCCCAGTTGCTCATTGCCACTTTTAGTCTGAGTCCTCAGCAAAAACCTGAAATGGAAGACCCTACCAGAAGTACAATCACTATGAGCATTGCGCCTTGCCTCACAGAGTCAGGCAGTCCCACCATCATGGAAATTTTTTAACATGGCGAGTCGACTATGATAGGAGAAGATAACCACAAACCTGGCTTTATGTTCTATCTTGGGTTGTCCATGTTGAAATCTACTTCTCTGGTTTGAAAACAGACATTGCAGTAACATAAAAGGAAAACAGTCTTATGACACAACTCTTGTCTTTTTTATTTCTTAACTCACAGGCAATTATGTATGTGGCTCCACTAAATGGATACAACCACCATGTATTTAGATGGATTTAGTACTGAACTATTTTTCTAAATTAAAGTGTCTTTATTTTCAGGTCTTTGTCTAGAAAAGTTGCCAATTTCTTCATCAACAAGTAACCTCCGAGCAGATCGCGAACAAGATATCATTATGTGCTATGAAAAAGCTGGGGATATAGCACTTCTGTATCTTCAAGAGATAGAAAGGGTAAGCTGGGATACCTGGTCCAAGGGGGAAAATACCGTTATTTGTTTAGTCACCAGACGGAATTACAATTCTATCCTATGCAGGTCTACCCAAAAATAAGGCTCGCTGAGTATGCAACTATAAACAGATTATATTATGATGTAACACAATCTCCTTACAAAGACTAAGCATTATTTATTAATTATGTAATTTGATAAATGCATTTTCCATTTTCCTTCCATTACATTTGAGGCAGTTTGCATTGAGTCCCCCTTGGGGTAGAGAAAGGCGGGATATAAATAAGGTAAATAAATAAATAAAGTGCTCTTACAACTCTGTGAAATAGATCAGCCTGAGAGAATGTGGCTGGCCCTAGGTCAATTAGTAGGTTTTATGCAATGACTTGAACCTATGTTTTCCAAATTCCAGTCCAGTATCACATTGGCCATCAGATTTTCTCCAAAGAGAGTCAAGATAAAAATACCAGAGTAATGGATAATACATTGAACAACTATTTGATCTAAAATGTTCACTAGTTAGAAATAAGCATTGTGTAAGTGCAGTTCTTCATTTCTGTTATACTAGTGGAGAAAAATAAGTCCCAGCAGTGATCCATATTTCTGAAATCAGTCCTCATACTTAAATTCTTTATGGATACCAATTTCTTATGGTGAATATTTGGATATATATAGAAATTGCAGTCAGGCATCCTATGGAAGGAACTAACACTTCTAGGATGCAGCTCTAAACCAGTGATTTCCAACCTTTTTTTTTTTTTTACCAGGGACCACTTGACCAGGGACCACTCTCCAACATTAGTACCAAAAAGGTTACGAATCAGTTATTGGTCAACTTTAGATTTGGCTTGGTTATTTGGGGTGCTGATTCAGAAAATTGCATTGGCTAGACCACATCAGCTCTAGTTTCTGATACAGAACATATGTCATCCAGTAGTTGCCATCTGCTCACCCACAGAAAACGATATTTAATAATCTAAAGTTGATGTGGTAGTAGTAATCTTTTGTGAGTAGTTAGCCTCTCCCCTTTCAACATCCCCATTGCCTTGGCACTATAAGAGGATTTTGCGAGACCAGTCGCTCTCGTTGCTGTGTGGTTTCGAGGTAATGATGAGGCCGCAGACCATATTTTTGTTCTTGCAGATCACTGGTTGTTCACGGACCACAGGTTGAGAACCTCTGCTCTAAACTTAGAAACCAGGTGTTGCATTATAGCAAATTTGTATGGTTGAGTTGCTATTGATTGTGAAATTGGTCCTACAAATTCTGTTTGGTTATTTAACCTTGATGAGTTCTTGCAACTGCAACTGGAGGATGGGTATACCTTAGCTATTAAACATGCCTAGTTTCTTGTTGACAGAACAATTCCCATGGTTATGACTATGCAAGGATCCCACTATTTCTACCTAAAACAGAACAAGAAGACCTAACTCACTAAAATACCTAAAGATAAACAGAAAGAGTTATGATATAAAACTAAAATATTTGTGTTGTGTGGATCTAAAAATTGAACAAATGTAGTAAAATAATGTACACAATGTAATCCCATATTAGTATTAGGAGAGAAGGTCCTTAGGATATAAATTTGTTGAAGGAAAAAGATGGTTCAAGGTCTCATCAGATTGTTCATTCAGATTATCAGGCTTCCTCAGTAGCCACTACATATCTGACATCCAAGATTTCCTCCAAACAAGCTCGTATATGAAATGGGCACATTAAATTGGTATATGTCCATTATATTGATTGTTTTGCTGTGAATATAATCAGTCATGTAATTCTGCATTTTAGTTTAATTTTCTTTTGAAATCCTTCTACGTAAAATATGTTACTAGTTTAGCTTTTAAAAATTACACATTACAGCTTTCATGCCTAATTCACTCTTTTGGAGGCATGCAGTCAAGCCTGAATAGCGTGTTCTTTGACCTTGCCTTCATTTTTTTAACAGATCGCATGACCTTCTTACTCCTTGCCAGGATAAGATATCCCATGATTTGCTGGAAAAGAGTAGCTTATATTGATGGTGAAATTCTTTAGAAACCCCAGCTGAAAGTAATCTGTTCAGCACATTTTGTTCAGAATGCTTTGAGTTTCTTTATTGCTGTCTCAAGTTTTGGCTTGCATGATACCTAGGGAAATCTCCATAGAGGTGAAAGCAATCTTTCACCAGAAATATACCAAGAAAATGGTAGTGAATGCCCTGAATGCTTTGTGTTAGTGAAAGCTGTCATTCCTTAGCGATTTAGTGGTTATGTAATCACAAAACTATCACACAGAATTGGGAGTTTCAAAATTGGTGCAATTTTTGTTTTTCCTTTATGATATTTGTATTTCATTTTCATCTTTTAGTCTTTTCAAAAACACACTTTTCTGAATTGCTTACAGCTGTCTCTACTTGTTCAAACAATTGATGTTGGGATTGTTTCTATTTTTATTTTTAATATTTGTGGCTACCTTTTGATAAAGAACCTAGAGGCAGGTGATATATGAGGGTTAACCGGAAAGTAAGTTTACAAGGAACGTGGCTCTCGCGGGAAATTTTCACTGGAGAAATTGGCATCATCGCTGTGTAGTGGGAAGCCAGCGGAAGCGAATGGCAGTGCCAGTCGTTAGTAGCTCATCGACTGGCATTGCGGTTAAGATTAGAGATGGACATCCTCATTTCATTTCCCGTCAAGTGTGAAGTTTACGAGGGATATCCAAAAAGTAAGGTTACAAGATTTTTTCCTAAAATACAAAAAATGAATATATGCTAATAAAACTTACATACTCATAGATTATAGCATAGGTACATTATTTTTCCACATAATCACCATTCAGTTCAATACATATTGTCTTCCGTGAGATGAGTTTTTTGATGCCTGTGTCATAGACGTCTCCCGACGCCTTTTACAGCCCATCATCAGTCACAACAGATGGCCGTCCACTTCTGTCTTCATCGTGAATTTCCATCCTTCTGCAATTGAAATTCCATACCCATTTTGCCACTTGCTGTCTTGACATTACGTCCTCTCAATAAACTGAAACGGTATCACGATGAATTGCATCAGCATTCACGCCCTTAGCATTTAGGTAGCGTATTACAGCGCAAATGTCGCACTTGGAGGGAAATAGAATGAGGACACTAATCTCTAACCTTCACCACAATGTCAGTTGATGAGCTACTGATGACTGGCACTACTCATTTGCTTCCACTGGCTTCCCACTACACGGCAATGTTATCAACTTCTCCCGCAAAAATTACGTGCCTTGTAACCTTATTTTCCAGGTAACCCTCGTATAAACAAAAATGATTCAAAAATTATAAATTTGATAAAATATGGTGCTAGCAAGTAAAACTAGTGCAGATGAAAGAAGTAAAAATAAAACCCAACACTGAAACAACTTGAAGGCACAGAACAACTGATCCTATGATCCTGTGTGTATATGTTTACTGGGTCAGATAAAATAGTGAGGGAAAAACAGTGCTTAGATGAGTCTGACATGTTTCTTTGTCTGGTTTCCTAGCTAATAATTTCCAATATGCAGAACAGAAGCCCTAAACCAGGACCTGCAACACATGAACAAGAACTTGGATATTTTTTAGAAACAGGACTTCAGAGGGCACATGTTTTATACTTCAAAAATGGGTAAGACTTGGTATAATATCTTTATCATCACTTAAAACAAATGGAAAAACAGTAAACCACGCTGGTTTTTGGTTGTGCCTAAACACTACAAAATAATATAACTACAGTAGACCCTTGGTATCTACTGAGGTTTGGTTCCAGAACCCCCTGTGGATACCAAAATCCATGGATGCTTAAGTTGCATTATATACAATGCCATAGTAAAATGGCATCTCTTATATAGAATGTTGAAATCAAAGTGTGCTTTTTGAAATTTTTTTGAGGGGGGATATTTTAAATCCGTGGATAGTTGAATGCATGGATTCAGCACCTGTGGATATAGAGGGCCAGCTGTATTTAATTGCGTTTGTGTGGCACGGTGAGTTTCCTGTGGACGTAATAATTTGAATTGGACACAGAAAATTATTTTATTATACGTAATAACTTGAACTGTGTTCATCTCTTACCATTCTGGACCTCCAGGTGTTTTAAACTATAAAGCACCATGCAGTTTTTCCAATTGTCAGGAATTCTGGGAGCCGAAGTCCAAACCGCCCAAAGAACCAAAAGTTTGGGAACTACTGCGTAAAGTTGTTCCCCATTTTATGTTGAAGCTTTAGTAATGAAAAAGGAAATAAAGACTTGTTAATCGTAAATACCTTTTTCCAAATCTCTTCAGTTACCACTTATTTTAACATTGTGCTGCAGGATAAACGTGCATGAAGACCAACAGTATGTATACGTGTATTTTCATTTGTGACTACTCAGTAGATCCCTATAGACTATGCATGAGAGGTCATCTAAAATTTTATTATAACCCTTTATTAAGAATAGTCTACTAAAGATAGGTTTATAAAAATTCCAAACGCTATAGAAAATGAAGAAAGGAATTCAAGCCTCTGTTCATTTTTAAAGGCTTCAAAACTTGGTGCACTAGATTTTAGATTAGTTTGTACTTTCCATCCCACATCCCTGTGCTCCAAAAATGTGTGATTATACTAGCCCTTCGGATTCAGACAAGCCTTTATAGGAGGAAAGGAATGTTCCGCTCTGTTGGTAAACCAGGTTTGATTTAAACGTCATGGCTAAGAAAAAGCGCTCCAAGTTTTGAAACTTGTTTCAGTTGGATTAGCATGTAATTGGTTTTCTAGGTTCTGTTGTTTTCAGAAACTATTTGGAGTAATGCATGACCTCTGAGTCGCCCTTTAGTTTTGCTCCCATTACTTAATTGGAAGAAAAATGGAACACTAAGATTTCATTTTTCGATCATCCTTGTAGTGAAATGGGGGGCAGGAGGGAGATGTGCCTATAATGTGGACTGAATACAGTTGTTATGCCTAACTGGAATGGACCCACTTAATTAATGAGAACTCGGTAGCTTGACATTTATGTAAGTTCCATTGATTCAGTGGGTTTACTCAAGTTGACACTAATTATTAGATTTAGCCTTGTTTCTTCTTTTCAGTGATAACTGTTGAAAAAGAATGAGCTACAGAATGCATGCTCCTAAAATTTTGTGGTGTACAAACATATAAATTATCATATTTAAACAGGCAACACTATTTTTAGTAAATAGGAATTTGCCACTGAATACTGTGTGAAGATGCCATTATTATTTTCTGAGATATGTTTACATTTCTGTAGTAGAAGGCTATTCAATATTAGATGTGTGTAGAGTAGATTTCGTTTCGAATCACTGTTAACGAAAAGATTTGTAGTTTTCGGAGGGCCATTTTCATGTAATTTCTGAAAACAGAAAAAGGAAGAGAGTGATGAAAAGACCAGTGAAATGAATTCAGAGAGACAATACTTTCAGAAAGAGTTAAGTCCACAAAATATCTGAGGCAGGGGGATCTGTTGCATCTTTTTCTCTCCCTGGAAGAAGAAGCCTCCTCCATTTTTTCTTGGAAAATTACGTCCTCTTCCAGAGAGGGCCCTTAGAACTTAGAGTATTGGGTGGCCATTGAAAGCTCCTCTCAAAGCATGATGGGAGTTTAAGTTTTTTTCTCCCTGTGTCTCTCAGACAATAAAAAGCCTGGTGATGTCCATGATCTTATTGACTGAGAATGGACACAACCTGTGGCTACAATTCACAGGCCCCTCTCTTGTGGTTTGCCTTATTTTAAAAAATGCTATGTTTAAAACTTAAAATAATTCTAGAAAATCAGTAGATTAATGAATTGTTTTGAAACATGGCAGTCCTGCAGTCGTAAATGGGGTCTACATCTGAGGTAGGTTTCATGCAGCTAGGCCTTAAAATGACTGAGGATTGAGCCTTTAAATTTCCCATTTTTGCCAATGGGCCGAATCTCTGCCAAATGAAATGGAAAACACCCCTCTCCTTTTGAGTAACTTTCTGGTAAAGGAAACGAGGGGTTAGACAAAAACAGACCCAAAAATGATATTCCTTTTGGAGCGAATGTGCATCACTAGTGTAGAGTGATTAGTACAAGTATGGGATTTGCTAGTATTGCACTGAACATTCTGCCAGATTCCTCACAGAATCACAGTTTCCAGTGTGCATGGGAGAAAGGCATAGCAGTTTGTGTAATTCAGGTGTACGTTTTTAGATTCATTATTTTGCTTTCTATTGACAGATGTCTATGATTGTGCCTCCACTATGTCTGTTACTTTTGCTCTTTCTAGCCAATTATAGCTGAGGAAACGAGAACAATGATCAGAAAGTGGATTGTTGTAGGTTTTTTTGGGCTATATGGCCATGGTCTAGAGGCATGGCCATATAGCCCGAAAAGAACTACAACAACCCAGTGATTCCGGCCACGAAAGCCTTCAACAACACAATGATCAGAAAATTTGGAAAGATAATTCTGTCTGTTGGAAATACTGGTGTGTATTTTACAATTTTGCTTGCTGAAGCAGAACAATCTAATTTAAGTTAAACCAACTGATCCAGTTAATCTGCCCCCATTAGTAACCATTTCTACTAAGGTTTTCTTTTAAACAAGGTATTTTAGCGCGAGGATAGAAATGTTGAAGATCCATTATCTTGTAGATAAATGGTGACAAAAAAAGCATTCAAAGAGACATGGAAAGGCAATTAACCTTCAAAATATGCCCCCATTTTACAATAAAATTTAATCTGTATGCTTCTTATAAGTAAAATTGTAATGAATCTATTCTCTCAGAAGAGAAACATGATACCTTGGCATTATATATATATATATATATATATATATATATATATATATATATATATAATGTTGCTTGGAAACAGAAAGCTGTCTTACATAACAAGGAGTAAATTATTGTAGATATTGTATATACTCGAGTATAAACTTAGTTTTTCAGCACATTTTTAATGCTGAAAAAGGCCCCCTCAGCTTATATTCGAGGGAGAGTCCTGGTGGGAAAGTGTGGGGCTGAAAGAAGCCCTTTGTAGGGCTTCTACCAGTTGCGTGCCTCCTCCCTTTTTGGCACAGCAACTCAGCTGGATCTCTGTGCTGAGAGAGGAGGAGAGGAAGGTGTGCGGTGTCTCCTCTCTGCACAGCAACCCAACTGGATTGCTGTGCCAAGAGGAGAGGCGAAGCTATATGCCTCAATTAATGTCATTTTATTAGTATCTATTTTTATTTTGAAATTTACCAGTAGTTGCTGCAATTCCCACCCTAGTTCAAGTCAATATGTTTTCCCAGTTTTTTGTGGTAATATTAGGTGCCTCGACTCATATACGGGTCAGCTTATACTCGAAAATATATGATACTTTTTTAAAAAATGGCAGGATTACTAAAAGAGTTGTTGATATGAAACAACCTTTTCTTTTCTGTTAGCCAGCTGTCATCTTGCCTCGTCAGTTCTGCCATAGTTCTGGACCTCTCTAAAAGTAACACAATCTATATACAATTGTTTTCATTGAAATCATTAGCAATAAGTGATTGAAAACTGAATGAAGCATTTCTGCTTTAAAAGCAAAGAAAAACATATTTTTGGATTACTATAATATACTTTAGATGAGGCTATCTTTGACGTGTTTCGAATCTTCACCTGGCCCAAAGTCGTTTGTCCAGACTGCTGATGGGAGCTGGTTATAAAATTCCTGCACAATTCAAAATGCTTATTATAAGTGCTGTATAAATGGGTATAGGCTGTTTAAAATACTGTGTTTTCCTATGCAGACGTGTCCTGGCTTTGAGATCTTAGCGAAACCCTTCTCTCAGTCTCAACATGCTCACAAATATGGGAAGGAGGGAGAACTCATGCTGAGTGGCTGCTGTAAGGCCCTGGAACCCCTTCTTAAGGAGCTTAATAAAATATGTTTTCCGCCGAGGTTGAGAAAGGCGAGGTAGAAATGAAGTAAATAATGAATCTGTATGTGCTTTAATTTTTCTAGAGTACATGAGTTTTGTGAAATAGGTGAGATGAGGATGCTCATGTTATTTTGGAATGACTTCTGAATTCTTTTTACCTGCCAGTGTGCATTGACATTGTATCACATTTGTGTGCTGAATTTGGGTTTGTCTGCAGTGGCTGCAAAGAGTCCAGCTATTGCTGTATTCTTTCTGAAAAGATTTACAGGCACAGTTTGCAAATCAGGAGTCAGCGTAGAGCATGTTCTACCTTGTCCCTTCCAACCTAAGACTGATGCATCCCTTGTTGGGATCAATTGTCATTTTATGTTTGCCACAAAAATCTCAAATTCTAATCCCTTCAAAACATTATTTGCGAAGTTGCAGGTTGCATTGGCCATGATTTGTGTATATGAAAGTAAGTAAAGTAAAGTAATTGTTAAAACTGAGGTGAGAGGTACAGAAGGAGGTAGGAGAAGTGGTATGGATTCCTGTGTCTAGATCCTAATTTTGCAAAGGAGACAGTTTTTATACCTGCTTTGTCAGCAGCATCAACAGCATCAAAAATCTAGATCAATTTTTAGAAAAGGCAAGAGTGGGATTCATGTAGATATCCAGAGATTCTTAGGCTACAGCTCTGGTGATTGGCCGCTAAAGTAGACAATGTTGAAGACTGTTTTGAGTTGCAGCCCAGTATCTGGAGGGCTACATAAGTCCAGCCTCTTAAGAGTATGGTTGCATCTGTTTTACAGTGCACACATTTTCCTGCAAAAGAACCCTAGTATGGCAGAAGGACTGAGTCCTTAGTGCTTCCATGGGCCATGTTACATTGTTGCTTGGTTCTTACAAACACCGTACTCATTGCACTCTTTTCATTTTCCCTTTTCATTTCCTTTCTTCTTTTCTTTAAAAATCCAGTGATCTTTTAATACAGAAAAAGGACAGAGACTGTTATGCTCCAAATCCATATAATGCTTTGCTGTATTTTTGGTAGCATTTGAAGCACTTGGTATATTGCAAATGTGGAGTAATTATATCTAAGAATGTCTTTGAGCTATGTCCTCTAATGTTGATAGGCAATTATAGGCAGCAAAATTAGTCATTTCTAACTGGTGGTATCCTTTCATCATTTGAGTAAGGAGAGAATTCTTCTTCCAAATGTTACTGTGAGCTTTCTTCTTAGCTCCAATCCTGGTTCAATGAGGAATGCTCATTTATGTTGAGTAAGTTCACAGAAAATCCCTACTTAACCTCCAAGTACAGGCAGTCTCCGTGTTACAAACAACTACTCATAATTAAGAACAAAGGTGAGACAACAGGAGGTGAGAGGTGTCTACCGCTAGGCAGGGAAATTTTTCTCCTTAAAACATTATCATGGGGGAAAAGAGTCTGTAATGAAGTTTTCTCACCAATCCTTGTTTTCACAAG